TTTCTGCAAAGACTTATAAAAATTTTCCAAATTTAAATAAACCCACAAAAATGTTTGCAATTTAAAAAGCTGTACTTTCTCTCTGCCTTTGTCATATGATAATAAAACTTAAGAACAAAATAAATTCCTATTCATATTTAACCATGAAATTACACCCACAATCACTTCCAGTTATAATGAAAATAGAACAGACTTCAACACATACCTATAATGATTTTTTTTTTTTCTTAAAATGTAATGACAATTTTTGTTTTTCTTGGACTGCTGGTGATAGTTTGGGGACTTTTATATTCAGGCTTTCAGGGAATGCAAGGGTTAAGGATGTGTAAAACAGATTTTCTCACAGTTTAAAGAGAGAAAAACAACACATTTAGGAAACCAGACAGCTAAAAGGTCAAAACGTTACACTTCCAGGTCAAACTTCTGGTTGCAATTAAGTAAATTCCTCTAAACATTTCTAGGGAAATCATATTTCTTTTAGGTTTTATTTCAAATCTCTGTTCTTTCTTGCCTACTTTGTAACCAAAACAATATTGCTCTCTCTAGAAACATTTAATAAAGAGTACTTTTTTTTTTTTTTGAAAAAGGAACCTGACATTCATCTCAAAATAAAAATCAGATTCTTATTTTTTTCAATCTCATTTAATATACAGTTGAACTAATTTTTAAAAAAAGGCAAAAGCAGCTATCAAAACTATTTAATTCTTTAAAAAATAGATACGGTCTTTCTTTTCCCCTTAGGAATCATGTTTCCCTTTTTATCCACTTTCATTACCTGTATTTCCATAGTACGGTTTGGTTTCGGTTTTCTGGGGTTTTTTACTAAATCGAGCTATTTTCCCCCTCCCACGCAGTTAGACGAAAAACCCTCAAACCATGCTGACAACGGTCCTGATGTAAATGCTGACATGCCTGCTAAAACATACCAACAATCTCATGGCTCCTGTCACTGCCCAACAAGACTACTTAGGTCTAAAAAAAATAGAATCTCTGCCCCTATAACACATAGAGATTTTCAGAGTTTTTTTCCCAAAACACACAGCCACCACAGCTGCACACAGACACAGCATTATCTGCACATGGACAACAAGCACAACAGGAATGCAAGTGTATGTGGGTTTTGTAACGCATGAGAGGTAGACCCGGTATGCATCTAAACAACGCAACCCACTATGTATGTCAGCAAGTGATAAGTGCAATCATACGTACCCAAGCTAAAAAAAATAAAACCTAAAGGCGTATTCATATTACATTAAATATTTAGCCAAACACAAAAGATATGACCAGATTCAAATGTTATTTGCAAACGCTTTACTTCAGCAGAACGCACTTATTATGTTAAACTGCCTTCACTAGAAGAGGATGACTCCTGTACTTTATCTGTAGCGTATTACAGGCAGCACAGTCTTTGAGCTATCCCACACACATATTTGTAAAGGTCAGACAGCTAAGGAAAGTCAGGTCTATCACACTGACCAAAAAATTTCTTCTCTGGTATTTTAGACATTTCAGTGCAAGGAATTTAAGCATCCATTAAATGCAGACCACAGAATCTATAAAATGCTTCTAGCAGAAATCCTGTTTGCCATGTTCATGGAAGAAGATAATTTAAAGTCAAACTTACTTCTTCAGAAAATTTTAGCTGAAACTGTGAGCACTCAAAAAAACCCCAAACCTATCTGCTACCTATTCCAATCATGCCTAGTGCTTAAACAGGTCCAAAGAAGCTGTACGCTGACACCCTATCCTCTGTACTCCTGCTTCCAAGTGACTACAGAAGCTTTAAAAAACTATACAGAGCACATAAGAGAGAGTACCTTCAAGAGGAAGAGGTGGTATAAAAAAGAATCGGGCACTCAAATAAGAAATAGTAAGTGCTTAGGGACAGATTTTCAAAATTACTCCATGTGAATTCCAAAAATGCTGAATTCCCATTTGGGACAAACAGATGGTAAGTGCTCTTACAAAAGGTAGCTCTATGTTCATTGGCCTAGATGAGTCACTTTGATATTCTCAAGTGAATATCAAATCAGAAATTAAAGGTGGGTTCATCTTGACTAACTTGCACCATCTACATCAAACTAGTATCCTAAACTTCATTTTTAACTGATAGAGATTAGTTGCCTATTAACTTCTAGCCAGCTTTGATAAACTGAGCGAGGACACACAATTCCACTTGTAAATACACGATTAATGGATACTGACTTTTTGCCTAACTATATAATGAAAACTCCAAAGATAAACTCTAAATTTGCATAAATATGTGTCTGCATAAACTGAAGTACTAACAGCAAAATTACTATGCAGATATATTTGGATGCTACAGAAAGACCTTTATAGTTTATATAGGTATACAAGATAGTAGCTGTCAACGTTTGTGCATGCAAACACTTTTTTTTGCACACACACACACACGTAATTTTTGTAATATTTTTTCTTTTTATAAAATGAAAAAAAATCATATGGAAACAAGAGACAAACAAAAGATGGAAACAAGATGGAAGCAAGAGAAAGAAGCAGAATGAATTCGGGCAGATATTAATTAAAGGTTAGGGGTCAAGGCTGTTTTCAAAAACAACACCAAATTCTTTCTTTTCACAAAAAAGACACCAAATTTAACAACTCTCCTGTTGTTTTAAATAAATGGTATTTCTTTTCAATACAATACTAACTATATAAAACATTTTATTAAGGCTATCTTTAAAATAAATACACTAATTCATTTCCTATCCAAGACCATAAATAACTTCACATGGGAGCTGCAACAAGGGAAGAAGTAAAATAAGGAGAACACATTCAACCCACCTGGTGCTCCAGCTGCAAATGTCCCACATAAGACAGGGATAACAATTGCTAAAGTCTCTGCACATATCAGTGTAGTAACAGGAAGACAAAGGTAGATCCTTCAATCTAGAAAGTGCAGAACTTTCTCTGACTATCTTTGAAACACACCAACTCTCTCTGAAATATCAATGAGTTTTCAGTTTATAGTGCAGTCTTTTTCCAGAAAAGTACAATAAGAAAGGCCATACTGGGTAAGATCAAAGGTCAATAGAGCTATATGCCTTGAATGTAAAAGTCGCTATAGATGGCTACAAGGGGAGACTAAATACAAAGTACATGTGGTTATTTCCCCAGTACTCTCCCAGACTCCAAGCACTCTCAGCTCAGGCCTTCATTGAGATTTCTGTGAATTCTGTACCCTCCCTGGATTACTCTCCCATGTTCTTGTCCAGTTCTGTGGACTCAGTGTAAGTTTTTATCATACCCATTATCCTTTGGCAAAGAGTTCCACAGTTCTGCTATCTACCATGGTGCTTCCAATGCCTTCATTTGATGCCCTCTTGTTCTCAAATTGGAAAAGAAGAAGAGATGAAATGATTTTGTAGCTCTCTGTTGTGTTCTCCCCAATTAATACATTTTCCAGGCTGAAGACTCCTAGCACACTTAACTGTTCCCTGTATTTCGTATGTTCCTTGTATTGCATTTCCTCATCCTGGATCATCTTTGTTGCCCTTCTTAGAGTTTTTCCCAATTCTATTGTATTATAATCTAAGGTAAGAAAAAAAAATACTAAAAAGAAAATACAGTGCATAAGTATGGAGTTTTTGGATCTTGTCAAATATCCTCTACCCTAAGAATAATTAAAAAAAAGAATAAATCAGATATATAACCTTGATCTTCTAGAAGAAAAATTTTTTGGTGAAAAAAAGATGCCTGTATTCCCCATTTGCTGACTGTAAAAAAAAGGGGAAAAGTAATCTAAAGCAAATACAGGAAATATTAAGTACAAGATACGAATCAAACCATTTTTCTTATGTTATTGCATAAGTTACTGCATACTTCAGGGAGCTATGAGGCTCTGTTGTCACAGACAGATGAATGTAAGTTTAAAGTTCACAAAGATCTGTAGGACTTGGCCACAAATCATAAATGAGTCCATTGTAAAGAAGCTGCAATATAATTCTTTTGAGAGACAGAAATGACAACGTGCAACTGCAAACATCAAAGTTCATTTAAAAGACTTCTGTCCTCCTTAGTCCCCTGTGGCAGCTTATCTATTATAGCTTACTTTCCCTCCAGTTGCGCCCATCAAATTTTGCTCTTTAAGCAAGATTCGTTTCACCTAACAAAACACTGTTTCACAGCAGAGGAGTACGAGTTAACAGCTGGGAGGGTGGGAATAAATAAGTTTTGCTGCTACAGGACTCTAACATGGAACATACCCTACAACCATCTTACGCATTTCATGTTCTGCAGTAACAGTGAACACTCCTAAAGCAAAGAAGGGCCGTCTGGAAAGGATGTGTTCCTTAAAAACATCACAATGTTCAAACTGAAATGCAAGGCCAAACCAGTTCAGAATATTTACTGTCATGATTTATTGTGTATTTTTTGTGTGCTTACAGGAGCCAAACAAATAGTTTCATAAGCAACAGAAATGTATTTCCTTATGAAATTGCATCTTATGCATTTTTTTATATTAAATAAGATGTGAACTTTGACTCCAGGTCTTTGTAAGGCTGAACTATTCATAATAGTGCTTGTACTTCTTTCAGTTTCTCATTTTAGCAAGCTGATCAAAAGTTTGAATATTTGAGTCTTCTACCCATTAATAAAGTTCAATCACTTTTGCAAAAAGCAACTGGGAGAAAAGATGGATAGACACACACAGAGAAAACACGATCACAGTAAGCCCCATTTCCTTAGAAACTAGGTTAAAATATAAAAAAAATATACACAATCCCAGAGAAAGTGATAAAATTAAGCTGAGAGCTCATTATGCCATGTGACAGCATGTTCTTTAATTATTTTCACTGTAGAAAAGACTATATAATAAAAACATTGAAATCGGAGCAAAAATGTTCCACCTTCAAGCCAAGAAAAACAATAAGGATGCTAGGGAAGGAATGAGAAAAGATAGGGAAATTACTTATAAAATAAACATAGTTAAACTTGTCCACCTCCCTCAAGAGGGAGAAGGTCAGTTTACAAGATACCTTCTTCCTTCCTTCCATTTCCAACGTGAACATTTCTACCAGCCATATTTTCTTTCCACATCCTCCTTCTTGTTTCCTCTGTGCCCATGTAAACTTCGCCGCCTTCCTTAATTTTCCAGTCTTCACCTTTGTCATTCTCCTGTATTTAATATCTCCACTCAGTCCTCTTTATAGCTTCTTGTTACTTAATTCTCATTGCTCTTAATCAAACCCAGCCATCTTTTGTGGAACATGAAAAATCAGGCTCTGCTTTTAGCTTGTGTAAGTCTACAGCAGGTGAGCATTATGACACACTAAGATGCTTGACATCATCACTAAAAAGAAGTATGTGATACTGAATAGCACAAGTGGGGCAAAGTGAAAATGTATGGCGCGTATAGATAAAAACTTAAGTTCTAACTTTAAAGATTACACAATTGTAAAGTGAAGTAGTGGGGTTTTTTAATGAATGAGAGAAATGCATTTATACCTGGGTTTTGTTACCGGATGGCTTACAATCATTGAACTGCAAATAATGCAAGTGAACCATACCTGATCAATGCCCTTCTTGCATGACTTTGACCATGAAAATTGGATGCAGGCAAAATTGAATCTCTGAAAGTCTGCCCTATTTTAATTTTCTCTTAAAAAAAATAAAACAACCTAAAATCAAACATGTTTGGACGTTAATTAAACAGAGGAAACAGAGTTTATACCAAACCCTATGTCCAAATGCTAAATTAAAGCTTACTTTGGCAAATTGCTCATACTGGTCATTTGGGAGGGGTGGGGAAATTGTTCAGACAGAAGGAAGAATAGGAAGAATTTGCTTGGCTTGGCTACTTTCTCTCATTTTTCCATTCTTTCTTTCTTTCTTCTCCTGTGTGTAACACCCACAGATTTCGTAATGAGATGGTATGCGACCCACCACACACTGCTGTGTGGGTGTAACTTAAATGAAAAAGAGATGTAAATTAACAAGTAACATGCACGGATATTTATATTATGTGCCACAAAACTGAAAGGTGGCATTAAATAATATCAATATGAAACATAACATTAATACCAAAAGAAATTGTGATAGGTGAAAATTTTCTCTTCAAAACAGTTACAGTAGGCAGTTTAACAACACTCATCTCTGTTCAACAGATCTAGACAGCAGAATGAGATCTGCTCATCAAAATAAGGTAGCTTGGCTTCTATTTCTAAAGGAAATCCTAATACAACCTATTTCAATATTACAGGTAGTCTAAAAATCTTACTACTACTGGTCCAATAATTCTGATTCTAATAAATTTTGAATACATCCTGCAATATCGAGAGCAAACTAATTAAAATTACCTGAAAAGCTGTGAATTCAAATAGGGGTGGAATGCTGACCTGGGATACTTGAAGTAGTAATAACCAGCTAATAATCATCTTAAAGTTCCTTCTATGGATACACTCTCCCTTACAATAGCAGGCGTTTTACAGCAGTGAAACTCTAGACACAGACTTGCATAACTTTGAGCAAAAAAACCCACATTCAGTTTGAAGAGCTCAAAAACTTGTAATAACCTCCAAATGCAACAATAGCTGCAAGCTTAAACATTTCACCAGCAGCACCTATGTGTATGTAGTTCGCCACATACCAAGCTTGCACATTTCTTTGTATACTATGAAAGTAAGCCAAACACTGGCCAGCTATCTTGCCACTTCATCTGTTTGTGAAAAAACACAAAAGCAGATCTTTGTACTCTACAAACAGAACTTGTGATCCTAGAGGGGAAGGCAAAACACAAGAGGGTTTGGAGCCAGCCACATTTAAGTGATGATAACTGCTAAAGACTATTAGACTTGTGGTTCACCTAAAAGGGTCAGTCCCTTAGAGGTAGGTCTCGGTCAATCCAGTGAACACCCACCTATTCTGTTACTTCCTTCTCAGGTAAGAACAGACTTGAATGTAACTTGAATAAACTTGATTCTTGGACTTGAACAAAGCACTCCTTTCTTACAAATTACAGCCCTGAGCAAAGCAGGGTGAGAGAAGGGGAAAGAGAAAGATTCGGAAATTAAGTTCAACATGAATGTTCATTATCACAGACTGTTTTCTTCTTTTTTTTTGTTTAGTGTTAATTAACGACAGTGAGATTAACTGCAGAAAACTGTTGGAACAGTAATTCTGCCTCATCCAAAGTAAATATTCTTTAATCTAAAGCTGTCACAGATATTACTGATGACCTCCTCAAATGCATATCCTTAAGCTTTTCATTTTTAGGGAATAAGGGGAAGAGTCAAGCAGAAGATCAGTTTGCAACCCCAGGACAGAGTACCAGTATTTTTACTGAAACGTTCATGATATACAAGAAAATATAAGACCCTAAAATCTCACAAACACCCTCAAATTAGTGCTGCATCTGCCTGCATATATAAAACAATTATTACATCTGGTAATTTTATCTTACAAAATCATTGGTTTTGAAAACCCACCTTTTACTGAGGTAGGAAACTTTAAAAAATAAATAATAAAAAGATATCACTCAGTAAAAGAAAACACAGAAAAACCTCAACAAATCTCAGAAATTCTGATCCCACCCTCAGTACTGTCCCTCTGCTTTCACTGTAAGAAAATTCTATTTGTTCACTCAAAAAGTTCACAGAAAAGCACAGGGATCTGAAACTTCATGTGCTTTATAAACAGTAATATTTCAAAGAGATAAAATGTAGTTACAATTTGCAAGGAAAAATGGGTTTGAACATCTTTTAGCGTCCTGAAGCCCTTTTTACTTATGTGGCATTGTGTTCTTGTCGGTGGAAAAAAACCCCTCCTGCCATGCCGTAACTATCTGGCTCCCACATACGCCTAAAAATTTTGCAATAACAAGCCAACCCTAAAGTATTTAACCTATGTTTTCTGTATTAAAAAGACTCATTAATATTGATAATAGCATTTAAAATTGCAACCATCAACCAGAATTCTACAGGAATATACCTTTCCAATAACTGAAAACATTTTGAGAGGCAAAGACTTGTTCAGAATTATAACTGTTAAAACACATTGAATTAAAAAAGAAGTATCTATATACTGATTGTATATTGTAAGCATGCTATTATATTCATTGCGGAATTCATATTTCAGTAGAGATCTATTTCAAAATATTTAAGGAAATGTGAGAAACCATAGCCAACACAGGCCTTTACTATTGCAGGCCTTCTTTTCTGTGACAAGTTTATAACATGCCCAACACTGTAATAAAAAGAAAAAAAAAATCATTATTTCCTAAAAACTATTTAAACATAAATTGCTTGTGTGATATAACAACAACAGATAAGCCTATCAACTGTAAAACCCACCACGATGACCACTTACTCTTTTTAATTGATGATAGGATCTCATACTAATAGTACAAGTGTTATATTCATTTTTCAATAATGTAGAAAATTAAAACCCACTTAATTTTTTCAACAACATCGCTGAAGTAATTTCAGACCCAAACACCAGCTATTTCAGGCTTAATGGCTTTCCTGATGGCAAATTTCTCCTGGAAAAAACCTAAAGAACAGCAGTTTCCACCATACTTTATCTTACTTTATTTCACAATAAGTAAATGATTTATTTTACCAGTAAGAAACAAAGGACCAGATGGTGCATGTTCCATCGATTTCCATTGACCACGTTGTTTAGGTGCTTCCAAGTAGTGTTTGACTCTTGAAGCAACAACTTCTTCTAGGAGCATGCAGACCTCCTGAAAGAGTAACCATTGGCCTATTTAGGTCTAAATTTACGTACATGCCCACAGACACACAGCAGAAATCAATAAAAAAAATCACTCCCTTTCACATGAAAAAAACATTATCTGCAATTAAGTGCTGAGGTATTACATAGAGGTGAAAAGAGCATAATTTAGGAAATGAATGGGAACAAAGCAGGGGGGAATCAAACAACTCTACTACAAAACAAGAGACAAAGTACATTATGAAATTCTCACTTGGCAGATGAAATACATTATGTTACCATACTAGCATTTTTTAATGGCAAATTAGTCTCATTTGTATGCAAAGTAGGAAAAAAAATACATGTTAAAAATGTATCATAACATTAGGTATTTAAGCAAAATATTAGTAAAAATCCTCCCAGGAATTGTCAACACATTATTTCTTTGCAAGAATCCTTATAGACCACAAGAGAGATTTTGTTTCAGTTCAGGATAATTTTGGGGGGGAAGACTCAGAGCTAATTAGGCCACAGCAACCTAATTTCACTAGTTCATTTTCATTTCTCTGCTCCTAAACAGAACCGTTCATGTCTTCCATATTTCCTTCAGCAAAGCACAATAAAACCCACATACAACTCAAGAACAACAAACCCTTCAGCCAGAATAACTATAGAAAAAAACTTGGAGTAAAAGCAAAATATTAATCTCTTGAATACCAGAATAAGTTTTCAGATTAATACATACACACATTTGAGACTTTTTCCCTCAGTATTTTCATTTTCCATTGTGCATAACTATGTATTCACAGAAATTATACTCTGTGGCACACAAAAATATCATTTTACCTTTTTACAGTGTTTGGACAATAGATGAAATAGTATTAGTACTATCTAAACTAAAATATCTTCTCTTGAAATTTACTTTTGATTAATATAGAAAGTATGCAGATCAACAAATTTTGAATGTACTCCTCTAAATGAAAGCAATGCACATATTGGTCAACCACAAACAAGATTTTCTCCTTACAGTAAGAAATAAGTTTTCCTTTCTGCTTGAAGAGTACAATTATAAAATACTATATGTACTTATTCTTCTGTTTAACTCATTAAAGTGATCTCATTACACATTCCTGCACTGGACTATGCATTCAGCTTAGAATGAAAAGATCTAGAAAGCAGCGGAAACGTAGCGTGCATTTGGTTCCTTCTGCAACAATAAAGATTAGCATGCACTTCCTTAATTTACATGGAAAATATTTTAGTTGTTATGCTTATGGAAATATTATTTAAATGGTTCTCCACAAAGAACTATACAAACCTATATTTAAGAAAGCATAAACATGAGCAGGCTTCAAGAGAATCATTTCTACGTTCTTTCCACTGCTAAAAAGAATTTGTAACTGACATCTAGATGCATATGGAGAGATCATAGCAATGATATTGAATAGAAATAAGTTTAATAAATGTTTCTTCAAGTACAAGGAAAAAACTTGGACTTTCTTATTCCAGGGGAAGAGAGAGAGGACTGAAAGGGCAGGGAAATTTGAAGGACAGAAAGACAGAAAAGCTCCTAAAATGCCTCAATTTGCATCTTGCAGCAATCTGAAGATGACTCTACATACAACACATGCGACAGCAGCGTGTAAACTTCAGTCTTTATAATCCCCAGCTAGACTACGTGTACTGTATTTTCTTACACCAGCCTCATGCTTACAGGCACTCCTTTAGTTCCCAGCCTGCTCTACGCAACTCATGCTCCAGCAGGAGCTGGCAGGCCAGCACTGCTCCATTTGCTACAAACAGCAGCCACTGAGTTTCATCCAGGATAAGCAGGGGATCAGCAGAAACCGTGTTTGTGTTACAAGGGGTCTAAGAGGCATCTGCTTTTCTCACAAACAAGCAAAGACGGCTGTACCACCATTAGCATTTTCCAGAATTTTTGGAAACAACAAAAATGTAGAAAACTGCTTGTGATGAATATGTAAAAGCTCTCATAAAAAAAAAAAAAATATGTAGGCGTAATTTGCCTATAATACCTTTCTGACATTTTTCTCCCCACTTTAACAAAAATTCTGCATAGGAAGGGAATTGTAAAGCTATTGGAATCACACTTCTTGGTTGTCAAAAATATGCAACCTTTGTACTTCACTCAAAATGTGCGGTCACAGAAATTTAATGAATGCTGCCCTGTCATGCCTCTTTATTAAATCAATCATGATCTAATTTCCTGAAATTCCTATCTTTTGTTTTGGCAGTCTTACAAAAAAGTCAGATAACCGGGACAGTAGAACTGGTTATAAATAGAAGGGGCAATGAGATTCATTTAGTCAGAAAAAAGAAGTCTAAAAGATTTCCCCTATGTTCTTCTTTCTGTGCTTACTAAAGCACACATCAGATGAACAACATGCTGTTAAATATTCTGCTTTCACTCCCTAAGGATATTAGTTTATTGTTTCCTGTAGTTTTATTTAAACGTATTACTTTGAGACATATGGGGATGCTCTGCAGTGACAAGTTAATTGTGCCATTATTAGGAAAGCTATCTGCTGAAAATTACCGTAACAGAGACTTGCGGGAAAGTCCACAGGCATTTCAAACATGTCCTGCATTCGTTTTCAATAGGGAACTTCTCAAGTTCCCACACAGACTGAAACAGGGGAAAACTCCCGCCAGTAACCCATCACAAGATTGTAGCAGAAACCACACAGAATCTGATGAAAGTTACATTCATAATTTTGCTGGTCACTGATGCACTGATTTTCCAAAATTTCATCTGTTGTCAGGACATACAAATGATACACTTAAATAAAGATTGGCAGTTTCTTTCATAAAATGCAATGGTTCTACTATTGTTTACCATGCATACTCATATTTTCTTGCACTCTCTAAATGCAACATCATTCACATGTCTTGGAACAAAAAAAACTCAATAGAAAGATTTCACCAACAAGCTCTGCAAAAATTATAACTGTCACAATTTGGTTCATATCACTCAGGATAATTTACAAACATCCATGAGAAATATGTTTTTAAAATCAAAGTTAAGTCAGAAGAATCAAAACAGCATGCCCTCATGCATGAATGCACACACAGAGTTTAAAAATTAACAGGCAAATTGAAAGTGGTCATTAGTGACCCAAAAAGCACATATGGTTGACTTAGGAGTCCCACAGCAACCATTGACAGTTAGGTATAACTAACAATATTCTCATAACACTGAAAAATACTGAGCAGTTCAAGCAATCCAACTTTTTCCCTGCAGCCACATGCTTTTGAAGTAGAATTGATATTTGTTGTACCTCTTTCTCATGATCTGAAAACCAGCTGGTGTCTTTACTGGAGCCTTGAGGCAAAATATGAACATCCACCAAAACAGCAAAGTTCCCACACTGGAAAAAAAAAAAAAAAAAAAAAAAAAAAAAGAAGAAAAAAAATGTTCAACTGTAGCTGCTAGGAAGCACATGTCGAGCAGACAAGGAGGTAAACAATCAGGTAAGCATATGCATCTGATTCAGAGATACAGCAGGCAGAACATAAAACTGGAAGATTATGAAGTACGGAATTACAAATTTACCATTGTTTGTGGGCTTAATGAGAAATAAGAGCACCAGACCTATCTTGGATAGCTCACTGAAAAGTTTAAATAAACACACCACTAGTACATGGAATTATCTTCTGCTGTCTATACACCACTAATTAAAATTTGCTTGAACTTAAGATTTACATGTGAAAAACTAGCTATTCCTTCACCAAACTCCCATCATTCTATTTCCTGAGAATTTAGTATCATTAGTTATCTAGTTTGCATTTTAAACTTATTAAGTCCTTAAAAAGTCAGCCTCTCTAGCAGTCTTTTCCTCTTTCCAAACTACTTAATGTAAAGAGCAGCAAGTTTGAAGAATCTGTGGTAACTACCTAATATTCCTTGACATCTCTCCTTTAGCCAATACTATACTTTGAATGGGCAAATGATAATAAGGCTAACCTATTAATAAACACTATATATAGTTGTTAGGATGATACAGGCTACATCCCAAGACGCATCAACTATTTCTGAAATTCTTTGATAGGCTTTAATTGAGGACAGTTTGACATAGGCGGTTTAATTATTTTCTTTCGTCAGTACACCAGTCATTACAATGACCATCTAATATAAGGAAGGGTGAACGGCACAAACACATCTCCTTAGTTCTGCTGTGCACTAACTCACCCCTAGCAAGAGAATATTGCACCACCACAGAGGTATGGTGCATTACAAGCTAATGCTTTCCCTTTCTTCTACTGTAATGCAGCACCAAATCTCTCTCAAACATCCTTTAACTAAACAACTTGCAAGGTAAAAGCCAATTTCATCATTCTGTTTTGGCTGCTTGTGCCGCACTTGTGATGCAATAAACTCACTCTTTGAGAAGACTGGACATGTGCAGTCATGGCAATTGCACATCCGAAATGTCTGATGGAATAGGAACAACATCCTGATTCCAGACAAATCTCAAACGTGTATGTACAATCCAGCGTCAGATTGGTCTCGTTTCAAGCGGACACTGCAGTGCACACTTCCTGTCCTAACTCTCTCCATGTTTGCTCTTCACTGCCAAACATCTGCAAACCCCACGCCAGAGTTCCAATTCCTAACAGAATTAGTTCTAGAAGCAGTATGATATATATTTTTATGCTATAGTTGTACATCACCTACAGTCCAAGACGTACATCTATATCATAGGCTTATGGTATAGCAGAAGTACAGTCTTTGAGAGTACCCTTACCTGTACAGTTAGTACAGACAAAGATTTAGCATCAATTTTATTAATCATGACAGCATATTTGGTAAATTAGAAATCCCTGGGTTTACAATACACTTAGATCTGTAAATTATCCATGAAGAGAAGTATTTAAATAATGATTTAAATATAATTAAAATACAATTCATGGCCAATATTGTATTGTAACTAGAATGCAAAAGTTTGGCAAACTATACAGGCATTGCGAAATAATTT